ACACAGTAAGGGCTTTGTGTTCTTGCTGGAAGGGGAGAAGGAGCAAGAGAGGAACAGAAGGGGAATCAGAAGATGAACACAAAGTGTCCGGCTCATCTAGAGGAATGAGGGTCAGGAATACTCTAGGGAGCCATAAAACAAAATTTCTTTACTGCAGTCACTAAGTTTGCAAGAATGAATTCTTAAAAACAGCACATATGCTTATATACATATAATAGTCTTTTGTTAGCCAAAATTATAAATTATCCCTCAGAGTTGGCAAGTTACCAAATAATCAAGTCTTCAATATCTCTCTTTTTCATAAACTGAAGTACAGTCAGTTACAATGTGTCAATCTCTGGTGTACAGCATAATGTCCCGGTCATACATATACATGCATATATTCATTTTTATATTTCTTTTCATTAAAGGTTATTACAAGACATTGAATATAGCTCCCTGTGCTATATATCAGAGATTTGTTTTTTACTAAACAATCTCTTATAATGCAACAAGTTACTAACTGGAAAAGACATTCATTCACCAGAAATGACCTTGATCACTGTAGTTTTATTTAAAGGCTTACACAGGTAACCCCATGGAATCTGGAAGAATAAACAAACAAAATGTAACGCACTACTAACTAGGAGTCCGGACTCATATTATCATGCCAAGTAAATATACCTTTTGAATACCACTATATAAAGCGATGTAGAGCAGTTACTCTGTAGAAATCAGATCTATACCTACAGGATGAAAGGGGGAGGGATGTAGATATCTCAGTGTTAAGCAAACAGGTACTTGCACTAAAATTTCTAGTAACAGCAGCCTTGCTGACTCAGAAAGTGCTGGATCTCCAACAAATGACACCAAAGTGAAAACATTATACCCCAGGACTGAGAAATAACTGAAGAACTAGCTTTCATAATTACAAAGACACCAATCCTGCATATATTGTCTTATGAAATAGGATTATAAAAATATCTAAAAATTTAAGATATTCTAATATAAATGCAGATATGCATGCATGCACATGTAACTAAATTAATAAATAAAAACAGGGCTATTTCTTCTACGTCATTGGGTGTTTCTATATTCAGGTCGGCCAATCAATTTTGGAAGTAACCTTATTGAGGAAAAAAGGCAGCTGCCTCGGATTTTAAGTCAACTTACATTCAGGCACACACAGTATTAGATTATAATAATAATTTTAAAATTATTCACTGTTCTCCAGAATTTCCTGAGGGCACTACTGAATTCTAACTTGTCAAACTGTTTGCCTTACTTGAAATGATTTCATGCTGTTGTTTCTGAGTTGGTATTTCTTCTACATCCTAACAGGGAATCCACTTCTGGATTCAGATTCAATGTTTATTGGAAGCCTATTATTTACATGAACCATGATACTTTAATAAAGCACCTACAGAGGCATCCATACACACATTCAACTGTATCATGTCACTAAAATATGAGTTTTGCTGGTAAAAGCCAGAAAACGACACTGATGGATGGGACAGGAGAGAAAAGGCAATCTGCTTCTAACGTAGACTGACAAGGTGGCAGATTTTATTTTCCTGTTTCACAGTAGAATAATCATGTCACCTGATAAGAAAGGTAAGTAATTCTTTATGCAATTTAGCATTAAAATTTTTACTGAACAAAACTCTTTACCTCAAAACTCTACATTTTTATTTTTAGAAGAGGGAGTTACTGACCTCTGCCTCTGCTGTCAGTTGTATCTTCTTCGCTATCAACTGTTTTAAGTCATTCCGACCTAAGGAAAGAAAAAGAAAAAAAAA